GAGAGAGAGAGAGAGAGAGAGAGAGAGAGAGAGAGAGAGAGAGAGAGAGAGAGAGAGAGAGAGAGAGAAAGAAAGAAAGAAAGAAAGAAAGAAAGAAAGAAAGAAAGAAAGAAAGACACAAGAGGTCTAGAATGAAAGTTGAAAGAACTACACAGAAGAAAAAAAATACAGATTAAAGTTTCAGGGGGAAAATAACCACCCACGCCTGACCCTGGCAGACTTCACCAGGGAACTATCAGTCAGGTAAGGTTTTAAAGTCTACTCAAAGTGAAAGGAAAAATCATCAGGGCTGTGTTTCCTCCTATTGTCACAATTCACTTAACCACGACTTATTAAACCACAAGTGATTGGGTTTAAACAATATGCTAAGAAGAAGAAACCATTTTGGCTTCGCAATGTTAGATGAATCCAGCCACAATGAAAGAACAAAGCTGTGTGTTGAAGAAAGAAATTAGAGAAACCAGAGGATAAATTTAGTATCCAAACAAGCAGTGTTTTCCAGCTTTAGTGAAATCTTTTCGGTCTGCCTGTCTAGCATGTTCATTTGACATTGACATGGACATACAAATCTGGATAGGGATCTGGGATAAGAGAAACCTTCTTTGGTCACTGTTTTTAGCTTTCACCGGCAACCACACTAGTGCAAGGTCTCATGTGTGAGTCTAGCAAAGATACTGAACATGTTCAACATTTGAACACTTTTTCATGGAATGGAAGCATTAATAACTTGACTCCGAATCAGGATGCTCACCTGCTTTTAATCTGCTGAATATATAAACCACGGCTGTCTTAAATTCTGTATACAGAAATAAAGTACAATACCTATAATGCAAAGAATTAGTATCATACATATTATAGGTATATTATATACCTATAATGCAAATAATTGTTTGTATAATAGAATCACGATTCTTTCGGTTAACTGTTATTAATACTGAATTTTCTTCAAAATTTCTGTTGCTGGGTTGAAATTTTAGTAAGACAAATCTATCCATGGATTAGTCAAGTGGTCAAAGCTGTTAAGTATAAAGACGTTAGAATTTTAAAAATGAATTACCGTCTAGCTCATTATGCTGGATCGGAAAAAAGCAATTCCCCAGTGGAAGATCTGAGCACTTATGCCAGCTTGCATTGATTAAAAAAAAAAAAGTTAAGAGCTGAGCAGTCTTTTTCAAGAGGAAAACAATTAACTAAAAAGACCTTAATGTAAAGTAGGCTCTACATATGCTATGAACAGAACACTTCCCTGCCTATCCCTCTGAACTGATATTAGTGTGATAGATCCTGCACCATGTGACAGCAGGCACTTGATTGATGGGCGTTAAATTCTGACTTCAGGCTGGCTAGTCCACACAACACAGGAGACTGCAACAGAGGAATAGAACCTTGTTGAATGTCAACTGAAAAGGAGCAGCACCAGCTGCGTTAAGCACAAAAACCTTCACAACACAAACCTGTAATATATCACTTGCCCCCTTGCTGGCTCTGTTCCCTGCTCTTGCAGCTTCCTGTACCCAAATTTTAAAAATTATATAAGACTCAACAAGCTATCCATCAAAAAAAACCCTACAAAATTGCCATTTTTCTTATTTGGCGTAGTCTCCTGCTGTAATTCAAACAATATACAATAAGTTTTCATCCAAACCCAATTGAAGATCTTATCTGATTTCATCAAGCGCAGCCATGTCAAACAGCTATTAAGGAAAGGGGGGGGGGGGAGAATACCAGCAGAGAGACAAAAGATAACACCCCATGAGCAACAAACAGTAAAATAGACTTAAGAATAGCTGAGCTCTGGGTCTTTGCTCCCCCATCCCCCTTAGCTTAGTATGCAGTATGGGATCAGATGTTGTTCTGGTATCTTTCTGGACACCCCAGAAAACTCACATATGAAATGTATTAAATAATGCCTGGCATAAATTCACTCTACATATGTAACACAGGCACCCTTATGCAGACATATACTGTACTCAGTTTCACGCTTGCAATGAACAGTATGGTTAATAATTCATATCTGGCATTAAATGTCATATTTACACTGTATAGACAGCAACAACATAAAGTGATTTGCTGAAACTATAGCAGACAAAGAAATTTGGCATTTGGATGTTTTATTAAGTAATCCGGTAAAGGAGATAATAACTTAGATCTTTATAGCAGGCATTATATTTTATTGGTGGCAGCAAAGTCTCATTAAATTTTGGGGAAATGTGCATAGGATCAAAATGAGAATTTGAAATATATGCTTCCTGAGGCAAGACTCATTATTTTCAGTTACGATTGCCTAAAAACAATGCTTCCCCAAGGAATTTGGCACAATTAAAATATGAGGCATAAAAATGTTTTCTGGATACATAAACTGCATAATGAAATTTCAGATATCGATTCCTTTGGAAAATAATGAGAACTCAGAGAGAAAACAGAAGAAATGACTGCTTTAAATAAATAAATCACTCATATACATCAATACACACCTATTTTGACTGCTTTACATTATGAGGCACCCTGAATGCCTCACTGAGGGAGAATAGGCAAAACAAATGCCTTTTTTTTAAAACAGACAAGGCTGCAATCTTAAAGATATTTTAACCAGGAGTTAATAAGTTTGAACCAGGTTGGTTTTATTCCCAAATAAAAATGCCCCAACATTGCTCTGCAGTCTCCAAGCTCTTGACTTCATCCTTAATAGATTTTAATCTAGGCACGCAACTGCATTTGCACTTGATGTCTGTAGAGCATCTTGGCTAGCCAAAAACAGAACATTAGCATGGTGTGATAGTGAATGTGTTGACTTTTGAATAGGGAGACCCTGTTGCACACTCAGCCATGAAAACTATTGGGGTGACTCGGAGCCAGATGTTTTCTTTCTTTCTCGACCTAGCCCACCTCGCTGGGTGACTGCAGAGGGGGGAGCTGTGTCTAGGCTGTCTTTTGCTCTTGTGTGAGACACAGAACAAAACGGACACCAAGGAACAGGTGACAGGTTTGCAATGAAATAGGCTGCGGCAACCACAACTGAGATTTGTGAGGATGGGTCATGGCCCCAAAGAAGCTCGGATTGTTTGAAGATGGCGTGGGCTGCTACTGCCGTTACTTAAAATATGACAGGAAAGTGGAGCAGCACATTGAGAAGACGCTGGTGGCTTTCAAGCTCCATTCTTATCATCTACCACCAACATGGGAAGGCCCTCCGATTCCGTGGGCAGCGATGGGAGTTGTGGTCCAACCTGGCTAGAAGGCAGTGAAGGCCCCGATCCTCTCTCCAGGATGGACCACCATCCTCATCATCCATTACCAGGTCCTCTGCTCCCTGGGGCAGCTGATGGGAGCTGAGGTCCAATCCATCGGGAAGGCAACACTCTTAGCCTCCAATCTCTCCTCAATTTGGATCCCCATCCTCATCATCCACTGACAGCACAGGAAGGACCTCTGGTCTTTGGGATAGTGATGGTTCTCGTGGTCCAACTTGGCATGCACAAACCCCAATCTAGATCAGCAACGAAGCTGGGGCAGCAGTGGGAATTGTAATCCAAATCTGCCTGGAAGGTGGAACACCTTCTCCACTCTTCCCCTGCCTGGACCACCATCCCTATCATCCACCACTAAGATGGAAAGGCTCTGGGGTCCCTGGGTCAGCAATGGGGGCTATGCTCCCACCTGTCTGGAAGGCAATGCATTGCCCAGACTCAACATATAACCCCATCATCCACGACTACGTAGCATGAGAAGGCTGGGAAAGCAATGGGAGTTGCCAAGATAAAAAGGTCTGAAAAGCACCCAGGCTCTTCCTAGATACCCATCATCCATTACCCAATGGGACAAGGCTGGGACGACGATGGGAGTGGTGGTCCAACTTGTCTGGATGGCTCCCCCATCTCCCCCCCCCTGCCTGGGTCATCATCCCCATCATCCACCTCCAGAACAGAAAAGCTCTGCAGTCTCTGTCTGCAAAGCAACACACCCAGCCACCTATCACCCCCTGCCAGATGGGGGAAGGCTGGACCGATGATGGGAGTTGGGGTCCAACCTGTTTGAACGGCTCCCCATCTCCCCCCACTGCCTGGACCACCCTCCCCATCATCCACCACCAGGACAGAAAAGCTCTGCAGTCTCTGTCTGCAAACAACACACCCAGCCCCCACCTAAATTCCCATCATCCACTACCAGCTTGAGAAGGCTGGGAGTTGGGGTCCAATGTGTCTGGAGCAGAGGGCTCCCCATCCTTTCTCAGCTGGACCACCGTCTAAGACAGAAAGATCTGGAAAGCAACGCACCCAGTCTCTTCCTAGATACCCATCATCCCCTGCCAGATGGGCAAGCTGGGCCGACGATGGGAGTCGTCCGTCTGGACGGCTCCCCATCTCTCCCCCACTGTCTGGACCACCCTATCTTCCACCCCACAGTTGAGAAAGACAGCAATGGGAGCAGTGCTCCCACCTGTCTGCAGTGCGCCCCGCCCCACCTGCAGCCGGACTCCCACCCCCATCATCCCCTTCCTTACCAGACCATCCCGTAAGCCCCTTCCCCGATATAGGATAGGTTGGTGTAGCGAGGCCCCACGTCGAAGACTTGCCCGCGCACCATCTCCGGGACCCCGGCGGGGCTCCCACAGCTGCCCGCGGCGGCCCCCGACACCGCCGCCATGTTGGTCTCCGTGAGTGGAGGCGAGGCTGAGGGGAAAAGGGGCGCCGACCGGCCGGCGGGCGGGAGGAAAGGAGGCGGGTAGCCTTTTTGCGCCTTCCGCGGCTCGCTCTGGCCGGACGAAGCGAAGAAGGGAAGGTCTGCCAAGGGAAGGCGACGTACAAACTCCCCTCAAAAAAAAGGCGGCCGCCGCTCAAGCCCGCCAGCCGCCCTCTGAGAGAAGCCTCTGAGGGAAGCGGGGCGGGGCTTAAAACCTGACCAACTGCGCACGCGCACTCTCTGGAGTTGGGGGAGAGTGGGCCGGGCTCGCGCCCTGCGATTGGTTCGGCTGAGGGTGGAGAGGCGTGGCGGGCCAGCGCGAGAGAGGGTGGGAGGGAGGAGCTTACCAATTGGATGAAGGGCGGGGTGGAAGCCTACGTCACCCGAGAGGAGGGAGAGGGTGCCGCAGCCCAAGGGGCGTGGCCTGGGAAAAGCAGCGGAGGACGTGGAAGGGAGGGGGCGTGGCCAGAGGGGCGGGGTTTTGCAGAAGGAAAAGGTGGGGGCAGGAGGAGAATCTGTAAATCACGTGGTTTCCCTTGGATGATTATTATTATTTTTACCACCATCACCTCTTTCCTTGCAATTCGTAATTTGCAATTTTATTTCTATATTTCATTGCATTAAATGATTTCGTTTTTTCTGGAAATATGGGTTCTGCGCTGGTGCTGCTCGGAGAACAGGGAGTCCCAGATGTGCATTTTTGGAGCATCGTAACGTTACCCCAAGAGGGTGAGATTTTTGCAGAGTTAAGGAAGAATAATTTTTTGGCTTCAGATTTTTTTTTTAAAGAAAGCTAATCTCTAGCAAGCCCCGGCGCGGAGCAATGCATTAATAAATAAATATAAATATATAAATATATATACATACATACATACATACATACATTTATGTTTAACATTCAATGTTCATGCTACCTTTCTTAGTTTTCTTGCAGACATTTCATTACCCAAATTAAGTAATATCATCCGTGCCAAAAGAGTGGCAATGGGGGG